TCTCTGCTAAAGAATTGTTCTGTTTCTTTTTTTCTTTTTCCTTTAAAAAAAAAAAACAAACCAAAAAAACAACCAACAAACCAACCAACAACCCCAAACAGTTTTGAGTCTTCCTTTGATTTTAGCAAAGACAGAGTTTAAAAAGCACTTAGGAAGCTTGTACTAAAACCAGGCGCTCTCAGAGGAGAGAGTCGTCTGTGCACCCCCCTTCGAGTCCGTAGCGAAACTCCTGCAGGTTCGACACCCCGTAGAAGTGGATGAAGGCCGCAGCCACCACGAGCACGTGGAAGATCTGATGCGACTGGAACTGCGGGGAAGTGAAAAAGCCCTTTAGACCAGACCAAAGGGGACAAAGCAACACGGGGAACAGCTCCTCCTCTTCCTCCACCTCCTCACTGCTCCTGCACTGCCCCGGGACTGTCCTCAGCCCCACGTCGTCCCCCTCATTGCTCCCAGGCAGCGTTTTCCACCCTGTACCTGAGCCAGCCCTGCCTGCTCCAAGGTCTGGCTGCCAGCACGCGCGCTGGGGCACACCAGGACACCCCCAGCCTCCTCCTCCTCCTCGAGGCTCCCCACCCTCGACCCTGCTCCCCGCCTCGTCCCCACACTCACCCAGATGTCGAACTTGCCCGGGAAGAAGCGCTCGGGTATGCGGGCGGCGTACAGCCCCGCGCCCGTGATGTACATCACAGCCATGAGGAAGAACCAGCCCATCTGGCCGACGGTGGTGGCCTTCACGAACCCTTCGGCGATGGTGAAGTGCATGGTGGGCACCACGCCGCTCAGCCCCAGCCCCAGAAAGACGCCTGCAGCGAGAGGAGAGATCAGCAAACGGCAGTGCAGGGTGGACGGGCTGCTGCTGCCCGCCAGCTCCCCTCGCACCCTCGGTCCGCGCGAAGGGAAGCTCCTGGAGGCACCGGCAGCTTTCCCTCACCTCCACATTTCTCCTTCACAAAATGAGGGATTTACAGCTCTACGTCCCAGTCAAAACCAGTGCTGGCCCCTAGTGCTCACTGGGCAGAGCTCACCCAGCGTTCTCGTACAGCCGCAGGGCTGCGGCAGCTCCCGCTCCCGGCTACGGGAACGGCTCGCTCAGAAGGTGCCAGCAGCGAAGCCTCACGAGCGCGAGGAGCGCAGCAGCCCCGGCCAGCCCTTCGAGGAGAGGCGTTGCCAGAGTCATTTGTTCGGTGAAGCTGCTTGGAGCTCAAAGGGAAGGTGCTAATTAGCAGTGCCAAAATTTTCAGGCATCCAATTAGTTTGGCAGAGAGCAAACGGCACCGCAGAGCGACAGCAGCCCAGAGAGGCCACGGCTCCTACGCGTGGCAGGGCCTCGCTTTGCGCCGGGGCAGGACCGCAGCCCTCTCCGGCAGCCGGGGTCTCCGCCATCG